AAATTTAAAAACCTACTGAATAATTCAAGAACGGTAATGGAATAGTGATCGTTTCATAAATGTAATTATTTTTAATTGTCATTTAAAAATCTATTAGAATGAATATGTTTAAGAGAGGTTTTTATTCCGTTGAAAACATCGTTATCGATGTGTAATAGAAAACATTTAGAAAATGAAAAAAATGGCGTTATACGTGAATGAAAATTTTAATAGGAAGTAAATCTTTATTTATATAATTGTTTATTTTATGTGATTGGCATAATAAGGTAATAATTAATAAGGATGTTTACAACGGGCAATTATCTCTAACGTCTAAAATAATAAATTAAAGGCCTTCTAATAAAAACTAAATTCTACTTACGTTCTGCGACGCCTTCATGGAAAAATATAGTCTGTGTAACTAAAAAGGAAGTCAGTTGAAACTGTTTCCGGTTTGATTACGAGGTTTTATATTTGAACTTCAAATTTTAAAATTATTTTAATTTATAGAATTTCAGAATATTTACCCAAAAAGTATGTATGCTCATTGTTACCAATAATTATTTTTTAAAAGTAATTATAATTTATAAAAAATAATATTGTTTATTTTTAAAGTTTACATTTTTTAAATAATTTTTAAACTAGAAATTTTGATTTATATTTTTTTTTTGCATTAAAAAATTTTTTAAAAATCAAATGTTAAATATAATAATTAATGAGTAGATAAAAATTCTTATTTAGATACATAGAAAATATTTTCTGATAAATTTTAATTTTTTTATTCTATGGTTTTAATTTGACAAGTTTCAAGCAAATCAAAGTTAGTTTTATTTTATGAAAAAAAAAAAAAATGATTTGTTAAATTTTATTATTTGTGCTTTATTACAGTAAATTATACATTTATTAGTAAATTTTAATGTTGTGGTAATAATGAAAAGCATTTATTTTAGCAATACAAATAAAAAGTCAATAATACTCAAGTCTAATAAGAAAAAACTTAATTGGATACCTCCTAAGTCACCTTATAATTTAATTCAAGAACTTTTATATCATGATCCTTGGAAGCTTTTGATATGTACTATATTTCTTCAAAAATCTAATGGTATAAAATAAATTAATAATTCATTTGAGTAAATTGTTAAGTAAATTATTAGTTTTTATTTAAGGCAAATCAGCTATTCCAATATTTTGGGAATTCATTAAACGTTGGAACACACCTGAAGCTTTAATCGATGAAAAAGAAGAAGAAATTGAAAAATTAATTAAACCCCTTGGACTACAAAAAAAAAGGGCTTTTATGTTAAAAAAATTTTCAAGTAAAATTCATGTTCAAAAGTTTCCCATTTATGTTTTTGTTATTTGTAATTGCAAAACATAATTTTTTATATTACAGAGGAGTATCTTTACAAAGCATGGAAATATCCGATTGAATTGCATGGAATAGGAAAATATGGAAATGACTCTTACAGAATATTTTGTGTTAACGAATGGAAACATGTGCAACCCAATGATACAAAACTCACTTTGTATCATAATTGGTTGCAAGAAAATCACAATTCATTAAATTTGATCGATTAAATTTTTGATATTTCGAACTATATTATCAACTTATACAATAATTCTTATTTTGTACTACATTCTTTTGTAAATATTTTTTCATTGTAATTGCATGTTATTGTAGTTAAGAAAAAAAAGCCTTTTCAGTATTTAAAGTAACTTAAAGAATTATTTAACTTTTTTAATATAAGCTTTTTATTATATGTATTAAGTTTGTTGTTAAATATTTTTAATTCGGCTGCACTTACTCGTTAAGTATATTTAATGGCTGACTTTATAGTTATAAGAATTTGTATCAAAGAATTGTTAAAATCAAAAGGATTTATTACAAGGTTTATTTTATCTTATTATTCTATTTTTAAATTTTATTTATTAGTATATTTATAGTCTCTAAAGTATTTTTATATTATTAGAAATTAGTTTAAGCATTTTTATAAATGTATTTAAAGTTTTGATTAAAATGGTTGTGATCAAATTTTTAAAGAATTTTAAAGACAAAATTTAGTTTAAAAAAATAATAACTGTTTTTAAAATTAAATAATTTGTAAGAATTATTAAAAAGTCAATAATTTTAAATTAAACACTTGGTGTAAAATGAATGAATCATTTGAAATATTAATATTCCATAGATTGAAAAACTTTTGTAAATAAAAAAATTTTCAAATAATATCACATGCGGCCTTGTGAATTTTGTATTTAATAATATTAATATTAATATTTAATTTTTTAAAAATGAATACTCCAAAAGCATTTATTAGGAAAAAAACACCCTCTGCCATGATACAGGAGACTGCAATAAAGAAAAAAAGTTGTTTTAATTTAGAAGATATAATGCAATTTGAAGCGGCCCGACAAAGAGCATTAAATCAACCACCACCAGAAACTCAAACAAAACCATTTACAGAATTTCTTCCTTCAAGAATTTTTATTAATGAAATAGATACATTCATTGGATCTCATTTAGTTAAAGTAATAATATTTATTTCATTTATTATGTAAAAAAGTTAATTGTAAATTATTAATTATTTATTTATTTTAAACAAATAATTTTAGTATTTAACAAGTATAAAAAGAAACATGGTACTGGAAGATGATGAAGAAGAAGATGAAGAAATGAGAAGTGAATACTCAAATGTAGATAATGATTTTGATGGAACAATGGATGATAAAAATGATGATGAATTATATCCGGAAAGTGAAGAAAAGAGACCGACTAGTAAATATTATCGAAGTGATGAATATGAAGTTATTGGAAGTTTAAATTTTTTAAAAAATCCCGATGTAAGCACCTATTATTATAACTAATGCATTATATATATATTTCATTTTATTTATAAAAAAAAAAAAAAATCAAAATTTATGAAAAAATTTTTTAGTATAAAAGACCCGAGGGAATAATAGAAATATTAGATAATGAAAATAAATCGGAATATTTAGAAAAAATTCTTATGTGCGGAGTAATTGTATACGACATAACAAATGATTTATACTGTCATCCTAGTCAAATTGAAGAAGCCAAATGGGTTGCAGAATGTAGGATATTTTTAATTTTTAACGGTATTAGTTTATTCCGGGTAATAATTAATTTAATAACGATGAAAATTATTTTTTTTTTTTGTAGGTATTTACAAAAGATTAGAACATTTAGAAAAAACACAACCGAAATTTTTTGCCAAATATCAAGATTGTCGTACATTTATTCTGGTATCCACATTACTAACGTGGGCAAAAACTAAACCGATCGATCCTGTACGTATCCTTTGAAAAGTTATGTTACACAAAATAGAAGAAGCAAATCCATTATTTGAAAAAATATTTATTAGGATGATCCATCTCTGCCGTTTACCGAAAGAGATTTTCGAAAGCGTAAACCTCATTCGAATTATAAAATTCACTGTCAATTGGAAAAAAGAATAACCGAACTTGGGAAGAAGGTATTTTTTTTTTTAAATTTATTTTTTTTGATTAATATTAATAATAATAAACGTTAAGTTTTTTTTTTTTTAGTATCCGAAAAATTTTCGTACTGTTGTTATCGGTGCTGGAATACCTTACGGACACGAAGAAGACATTTTACATATATATTTCAAAATGGCGTGGTTGAATTCTCCACATTTACCCATTTTCGGTTCTGGAAAAAATATTCTTCCCGTCATACATATCGATTCGTTAAGTTCGATAATTCGAAATATAATTGATGATTTTCCTGAAAAAATGTCTTATATTGTTGCAATGGATCCCCAAACTATTACATTAAATGAAGTCGCTAAGGTTTATTAACTTAAGAGTTTTTTTTAGAAATACCAATCAAACATAACCTTTTTGTTTTTTTTAAAACGTTAAAGGAATAAACAATGAAAATTTATTAATTGTAAATATTTTCTAGCTTTTAGCTAAAAATTTAGGAAATGGTAAAGTACTTAAAGTCAATAAAGAAGAAGCTTTTTTATATAATGAAGTAGAGGTAAATAATGTTTAATTAAAAAAAAATAATAATTCTTCTGTTGAATTTATTATAAAAAAAAGTTTTTTTTTCAGCAAAAAATATTTGATATGCTTACCGCCAATATAAATATTTATCCAAATTATATTATGAATAAAGAAAATATTGTCTGGGGTACGGATCGTCCATTTAATGAAAACATTAAAAAATTAATTGAAGAATATAAAATAGCTCGTGGATTATTGGTAACAAAAGAAGTTTTCCCTTATTCCTTTTTTTTTGTTACAACATTACAAAAAGTATTAATTTTAGCCAGTAAAAATATTTATGCACGGTCCTCCTGCAAGTGGAAAATCATTCATGGCTTCAAGATTATCCAAATATTATGATATCCCTCATTTACACGTGAAAAAAATTATTCAAGATACAATTCAAGAAATGGTAAATATAATTTTATTATTATTATTATTAATTATTTGTAAAACATAAAAGAGTGATTGTTTCGTGAATGTTAGAAAGATAAAATACAAGCGATTAAAAATAAAAACGAATCCGTCAAAGAAAAAGATGACAATGATGAAAATTTAGAAGAAGAAGAAGATGATGAAGAAGAAGAAGAGGAAGAAGAAGATTTGGATACGTTAGTTGCAAAGCTTGCGGAAATAGAACAAAATATGAACAGCAGTGAAAAAAAGAGATTGGATGAAGAATATGTTATTCAGTAGGTAGCCGATAAATTAAAAATTTTTTATAAATAAATTTTTAAAATTGATTTTTTTTCTCACATTTAGGTTTTTTAAAAAAAAAATGATGTCCAACGCTTGCTTAAACAAAGGATTTGTTATTGATGGGTATCCGAAAACGATGGAAGATACGAAAAAACTTTATGAAGTTGATGAAGAAACCCAAATTGAAAAAGATGCTGCTGATGATGAAGAACAAATTGATGTTTCTGCTTTGAGTAATGCTTTGATACTACCAGGTAACCGAAATTAAAATTGATTACTATAAAATTTAAAGAATTTAAAAAAAAAAAATTATAATTTTATGACGAAATAGAATACGTTGAAAGTTTGGATGCGTCTGACGAATACCTTATTAATCGCGTTATCAAAATGCCTGAAAAAAGCGTTTTAAATTCTCATTACGAAGAAGCTGAAATGTGTCGTAGGTTGTCACAATTTAGGTAAACTCACCTGATAACTTTTTAAAATTTTTTCGTGATGACCCCCCCGGAGGAGGGGGGAGGGGGAGGGGGTTGTTGGCATTTTAATTATTATTAATTGATATTTCAGAGCGTTGAATACCGAAGATAACACTCCGCTTATTTATTACGACGAATTAGAAATTCATCCGATGATATACGATATAGAAAACGATACGGATCCTTTAATGTCTTCAACGTTCAAAGCAATCGTCAATAGAATCGGACCTCCTCGAAATTATAGTAAAAATATATTTATTATAAAAATACTAATTTGACTCGTTTCAATTTATAATAATAATAATAATAATAATTTTTTTAGATAATAAAGATAAATCCGTTGAAGACATTATTAACGAACAAAGAAAATTTTGCGAGGATCAAATGAAAGAAAATTTAAGACTTCAAAAAGAAGATATAAAAAAAAAAAATGAAGAAAAAAGAGAAAATATTGAACAATGGGTGAGGAATACAGAAAATAATAATAATGATTTAAATGTTTAATAAAATATATATATTTATTATTTAAAAAAAAATTTTAGATGCTTTTAAAAAATCGAGAATTAGAAATGGAAGAAAAAGCTCTTTTGGTTATGGGAATGCCTCTTAGACATTATTTAATGAAATATATATTTCCCACTTTGACTAGAGGTTTGGTTGAAGTTGCCAGACTACGACCCGATGACCCCGTTGATTTTCTTGTTTGTATTCATTTTAATTTAAAAGAATTATAAAATTATGTTGAATATACATGAGAGTTTAATTTTATTATTTACAGTCAGAATTTTTATTCCAAGAAAATCCCGAAGGTAAAATGTTTCAACCGAATTTCGAAGAAAGAGAGAAAAAACTTGAAGATGCACTTAAAGAATATGAAGGTTACAGTACGTCATCAACCACTTCTGAACCATTTAGTAGTACGAAAACTTATTCGACTGAAAAATCAGCTAAAAGTCACGCAATATCAAAAGTGTCAAGCTACAAATGTTCGCTGGTGTCTAAAAAATCAACAAAAAGCTCGAAATCTAAACAGAGTCCGAGATCTACGAAAAGTACAAAATCTTCTAAAAGTACAAAATCGAAAGCTGGTTCGAAAACTGAATCTTGCACTTGTGCTAAATCTCCGAGTCTTTCGACTTGTTCATCAGATATTGATCCTCCTACTCCCACGTCTTGCTCTTGTACATTATCAGAGAGTTACGAGACACCCGAAGACGATGAACCTTTGAAAAGAAAAGGACAACCAGGAACTTGCAAATGCCCTTGCGTAACTTAATTAAAAAAGGATGTTAAACGAAAAAAAAAAAAAAAATAATAATAATATAACTTTTGAAAAAATGAATTTTATTATAAAAAAAATTTAATATTTAAATCAAAAATGTGTAAAAAACCATTAAGGACAACAACAATTTAACATGTAATCATAATCCCGACATAATTTTCTTCCATCAACTGGACAATTGGGATGTAAAACTGGACAATCAATGGGTAAAAAATCTGTAAATGAAATTATAATTAATGCAAAATGAAAAAATTTTCAATTATAAATAATTTTTTTGTTTTTTTTTTTTTTACCAGAAACTCGAGCGCATCCACAACAGTAACCTAAAACAACAGCACGATCACTAACACATTGTCGATTAGGGCATTTTGTACATGGAGAAAAAAGTCCAGAACTGGAAAAAAGGCTGCTGAATACTATATATAAAAAAAATTAAACAATTCAAATTAAAATTAAATAATTTTTTGTTTTTGTAAAAAAAAAAAAAAAAAATAAGAAAAAAATTAACTTTTATATCCTTCTCTAACGCCTGTTGCAAAAGAAACGATGAAGAATATTAAAAAAATTGTATAAAACACCTTCATGATTTTACTTTTAAAACTGAAATAAATTTTTATTTCGGTTTAGTTTTTTTTTTTTTTTTTTTAAAATTTTTATCTAATAATTATTTAAAACGCATTATAAATTATCAACGGTAATTAAGTAGGTGATTGATAGATAAACTAATTAACTTATAAATTATGACAAAATATTTTCCGTTGAATTCATCTATTTTTAAACTTTTGAATATTTCTAGAGAAAAAAAAAAAAAGTACTTGAAAGATAAATGAATGAATTAAAGTTTTTTTTTTTTTTTTAATTTTGCTTTTCAAATGAAATTAAATTTACCATTTAAAAAAAAAAGAACTTTTACCGCGTTAAAAAATATTTTTAAGTTGGCAGCCTGTATTAAATGTTTTTATTAATATTTGCCGCCAAAATATTTTATTAAAATTTAAATCATTAATACTAGGAATAAAAATATGAGTGGAAATTTTAATAAATATAAATATTTTAAAGGAAAAAATAAATTTTTTTATAAAAACCGTTACCGTAACAAAAATCGTGAAACGGGAAATAAAAATTTTTCTTTTAGCTCCGGTTGTAATGATGAATGTGAAGTAAACGTTGAAACTGTCAAGAAAAATGGTTCTCATCCAATTCGCGATTGTCCTTACAAGGGTTGGGATTTGTATTTCGCAGGCGAAGGTGAGTTTTTTTTTTTTTTTTTACTTACAAAACTATTAATTATTTAATTTAATATCGTATTTTGATTTTAATCTATTTAGAATACGACGAAGACTCACCAACTGTTCAAAGAGTTAAAGGGATTGAAACTTTTTTAAAGGAAAATCCTAATTTATATAATGTTGCTGATATAGAAAGATCTTTAAGTTTTCCAATTGATGTTAACATTTTACTAAAAGATCCAATAATTAATTCGTCATGGGAAACATTTGAAGAAGAACTGAAAAACAATCCTTTTTATACTTTATCATGTATAGGTTTAGCAATTTATCAGGTTATTTAAATTTTAATAATAAACCATGAATTTTATTTTTATAGTTTTACTTACAAATTTACTTTGATAATATAGATTGTATCAACTGCATTAAATACTGATGATGAAAACACATGCGAATTAGAAAGTGAGCAAAATAGTATTCTTGCTGGAAAAGAACTTTCAATGATTTACACAAGGCTATTAAGTTATGGTCCGATATTGCAACTCAGAAATTTAAAATCAAATTATTTTGGTAAAATTTGGTATTTTGTATGTATAATTTTTTATTTTTAAATTATTATTTTATTATGTGATTTTTTTCTTACAGGAAAATTAATAACAGTTAGAGGGACTATAATAAGGGTTGGTTCAGTAAAATTAGTTTGCACTTGGATGGCTTTTCAATGTGACATATGCGAATCTGTTCAGTGTTTTAGACAATTAGATGGTAGATAAAGTTATTAAGTAAATTTTTTAAAATTTAAAATGAATTAATCGAGTAAGATTTTATAAACAGGGATTTACACTCCTCCAAAATACTGTTGTGATCGAGAATGTAGATCTAAAACATTTACACCTCTTCTATCATCTCCCTATACAAAAACTGTTAGCTTTCAAAATGTTAGACTTCAAGAAATTGTAACAGATGACAATGTAAGTATTCTTTAAAAATTTATGTAAATTTTTTTACTTATTGTATTCTGCATAAATCTGAAAAAAATAATAGTAAAAATTTAATTTTTTAATTAGTAACTTTACATTTTTTTAGAGAGAGAGCGGAAGAGTACCAAGAAGTATTGATTGCGAATTAATAGCTGATTTGGTAGATACATGTTCACCAGGAGAAGTTTCAGCCATGACAGGAATAATTAAAGTGAGTAACATAAACAATGTAAATTTCTTGTAATTCACACAAATAGGAATAATTTTTATAATGATTCTGTTAATTTTGTTATCATCAGATAAGAAATGTCGATGAGAATTCCAGGCAAAAAAATCCAAATATATTTCATCAGTATATGGATGTCATATCCGTTATGAACTGTAAAAATTCAGAAAAAGGTGGCATTCCTGGAATTGAATTTACTGAAAAAAATTATAATGGAATAAAGGTTTTTAAAATTTTAAATATTATAATTAAAAATCGTTGGCAAATTAATTTTAACATAATTTTATTTTTTAATAGGAAATTTTTTCTGAAAAAAATGTTTTTCGCCTAATAGTCCAGTCCTTATGTCCAACCATTTTCGGACATGAAATTGTAAAAGCTGGTTTAATTTTAGCCATGTTTGGGGGATGTCAAAGGTATGAAGATTGCCGAGGTAATCCTCATGTACTTATAGTCGGAGATCCAGGTTTAGGAAAATCGCGAATGCTTCAAGCTTGTGCCAACACAACTCCTAGAGGTGATATTTGACAACATTTTTAAAATAATTTTATGTTATTTTTTTAAAACTACAATTAAAGTGTTTCGCCGAAGGTGTTTATGTTTGTGGAAACGTGAGTACAACATCTGGTTTAACTGTTAGCTTAGGAAGAGAAACTGGTGGTGATTACATTCTTGAAGCTGGTGCTTTGGTTCTGTCTGATCAAGGGTGTTGTTGCATCGATGAATTTGATAAAATGTCTTCTCAACATCAGGTATTTTATTGTTTTTACACGATTATTTAAATTTATTATTCTTAATAAATAAAGTTGTATTAAATCAAAATTTTTTATTATTATTGTATAATTACAAAATAAAATTTAAAGAAATTGATTATTTGAAGGCTTTGCTTGAAGCGATGGAACAACAAACTGTGAGTATTGCAAAGTCAGGAGTTATATGCACATTACCTTGTAGAGCGTCCATATTGGCAGCAGCAAATCCTGTTGGTGGTCATTACAACAAAGCTAAAACAGTTGCTGAAAATTTAAAATTAGGACCGGCTCTTCTTTCACGATTTGATCTTATTTTTATTTTAATGGATCAACCGAGCGTGGTAAGTTTCACGAGTATTTTTTTTTTTTTTTTTTGTAATTAATCACGAAAAAGTAGTTTTTTAAAATATATTAATTAAAGGAAACAGATTCAATGCTTTCCAGTCATGTCATGGCTTTACATTCTGGGGAGAAGGGAATGACAACCATTTCAAGTTTTTCAAGTTCCTTTTTTGAGAGTCCATTGCAAAGCCAGAAAGAATCTTTATTGTAAATAAAACTTTAAAATATTTTTACATTCTTTTTTTTTGTTTTTTCTATTTCTATGCAACATGCCAAAAAAAATTTTCAGAAGCAAATTAAAACTTTTACCGGGAGAAGAGCTGGATCTTATTCCCCATCAACTTCTTAGAAAATATATTGCCTACGCCAAACAATATGTCAAGCCGAAAATTAGTGAAAAAGCTTCGGAAATTCTTATAAAATTTTATACAGAATTAAGACAATGTCATCAAAATAACGATTCAACTCCAGTCACTCCACGACAATTGGAATCTCTTATAAGATTTACAGAGGTTATTTATATTTTAGTTTTTATTTACTTTTAAGTATGTTTTAATTTACCAACATGAGTAAATTTTGTCGTTAATAGGCCAGAGCAAAATTGGAATTAAGAGAAGAAGCAACTGCTGAAGATGCTGAAGAAGTCGTTGAAATTCTTAGACACAGTTTATTAGATATGTACGTTGATGAATTTGGAAAATTAGATTTTATGAGATCTCAAAATGGTTCTGGTACGAGTAGTAAAAACCAAGTATGTAACTAATGTAATTTTTTTATTAAAAGGTTTTATCATTTCTCAACATTATTCGTTACTTTATAAAAATTTAATTTTAGACGAAAAAGTTTATTAGTGCACTACAAAAGAGATCCGAAATGCTCAATAAATCTACATTTTCTTATAATGAATTAAAAGAATTGGCGACACATGCTTCCATAGGAGTTAGTGAATTTTCTAATTTTTTATCTACTTTGAATTTGCAAGGATATTTGTTAAAAAAAGGAAATCAGACATATCAGTTACTTTCCGTCGATTAACATACATTTGATTATAAATAGAAGAATAATTGATTAAATATAATTTTATAAAAAAAGTTAAAATTATAATTTTTTGTACATACTACACATTAGGAATCAAATGTTATTTTTTGTTTTTGTCAGAAATGGTTAATTATTTATTAAAATTAATTTATATTGACATATTTGTTTTTTTTTAAATTATCTACACGTATTAATAGGTGAAAAATATTAATTTTATTAGGATTTTTTTTTTGAATAACGAAATTCAATTAAAATGGTAAGTATCAATTTAATGGTAAAAGTATTTATTATCCAAAATTTAGGTTTATGATTAGTTTAGTTACAATTAAAGTACAATGACAAAATTATTATTTTTTATTTGTTTATGCGAGTATTTTAAATTAATTTAAAAATAATTTTCGAATATTTTTTAAAATTACCTAACCCGAATTTTGAATATCAAAAGTATTTGTCCGCTTTATTTTACTCTATGAGTAGAAAATTGTAAAAAGGCGGTGTGACCAAAAATATGGCCACTGGGCGTGCATTCTAAAATTTGTTAAAAAGTACTAGAATTTAACTAATCATTGAGTTGGTGAAGGTAGTTTTTATAGTCATTGAAAATTTAATTAAAAAAATGAAATTGTAAGTCGAGTTTATTTAGAAATTCTCTCTTAATTTCTTCAGTTTTGAAAATGAGCTCTCATGTGACGTTTATGAGAACTCATGTTTATTTCGGCAACAATATCTTTAGAAAACATAATGTAACAGCTTCATTAGATTTTTATATAATGAACGCAATAAAAAAGGATAAAATATAGCCTGAATAAGGTAAAACGGTTTTTAAAATGCCGGCCGACAAATGCAGTGCAGAGTTTTGGGCCAGAAATATGTTGTTTTCCTAAACTAGAGTTTAGAAGATGCGTGTTGTTGAGGAATCCGCGTCTAGTACATCATGTGCCATAATGAACGAAGAAAAAAGTATAAATGGGACAGAAACCGATGATTGTAAGAGTAATAAAAGTCAATCGACTGAGCAAAATCATAGCCCCAACAGCGATTACAGCGAACAGGTATATGCGTCCTCCGGAGGAAGACTTAAATTTTTCAAAGGTATTCTGTCATTTATTAATTAAATTTATTTATTAAATTTCAATAATATATAATTGTTGTAATTAATTCAAAATCTTTCACTAAATATGACAGTAAATATTAACAACAACTACCTGCAAATACTGAATTGTTTACGTTAATGCTGTACTTTAGTCTTTTTTTCATGTAAAATATATAATTTTAATTAATTTTAAATTATTATAAATGAAAATAAATTATTTATTTAATTATTATTCCTCTTATTGTCTTAACACAACTAAAATATTTTTTTCTTTAATTCATTATGAAAAATGTTTTGTAAAATAAGTAAAATAATTCAGATGTGTTTATACATTTTAAAATAGTAAAGATGTCTTTCTATATTACTATATTTATCAAATTTTTTTTTTTGATTAAAAAATTTAATAAATATATTATTAATAATTAAAAAACATTTTAAAAAAACATACATAGTAAGATAAAAAAAGTTTTAAGAAGTTAATTATTTTCATATATTTTATTTATAGTTTAACTGTTGTGCTTAACGTTTGACTGCATCGTTTTTTTTATTTTATTATCGATTATTATTAAATTAGAAATTAATGCATTGAAATTATTTTTAATGTTTAAGATGGAAAATTTATATTGGAGCTATCCCATAGAAGAGATGGAGAAAAAATGTCTTGGATACCAGTACCAAAGAAAACTTATTGGCCTCCACCTGTCACAACTTCAATGGTCACAAATAGTATTCGACAAGAAAGCACTACATCCCTTAGTGGTTTGTAAATTTTTATTTATTTATTATTATTTATTTTTATGTAGAGTTTTTCATGGTTTAAAATATAAATTTGTAGTTTCATCAAAATATTAATATTTAATACTCTAATATATGTATTTCTTTCAGTATCAGATGATAATTCGTCTGTTCAGCTTTCTCCATGGCAAAGAGATCACTGTTGGAAACAGATGTCCCCTAGGAAAGCAGCCAGTCATGACATGAGTTTTTTTATGATTCCTCTCCCTCGTGCCTTTCACGTCAGGAGAACTAATAGCTTAACAATTAAAAGAAAAAGGAGACGTCCTTTTGATTCAATTGAAAAAGTGATAAATTGGAAATCGTTGAGTAATCTGAATGGTTACCAACAAGCTGTTAAGTTAAAAAATTGTGCAATTAAAAATGGTAGACTCAATTTATTGATTCAACGATTGTGGGATTACTGTTTTAAGTCAAGTGAAAGTGCTCAATCTTTACAAAAACTCAGCCCGAGTATGTTTTCTCCGAGAAAAAGGATTTTAAGAGAATTTGAACGGGTTAGTTTGGTGGGTGGTAATTTGGACGATCAGTCTCAGTTAAATTTAAAAAGGCAGAGATGTAAAACGAGTTTTGAAAATGGTCAGTCTCCTCCTACGCAGGGGAATAGCAAGGGAGTAAGCAGTTACAGCATCACATCCCTGTTGGCGGTGAAAGAAGAGTCACAAGATCAAGAATCATCATCTTTTTTGAGGACTCTTTTGAAATCACCCAAAGAAGAACCATCTCCGGAGCCGAGTCCGAAATCAAGAAGGAATTCTCCGTCTCAAAGCATGCAATCATCTCCTCCTCTTCCCGTTCCTTCTTCCGGAGATGCGTCTTTGCGCAACGTTCAGTTTCCGTCCGTTCAATTCCCATATTTACATTCTCCATTATTGTATCCTCATTTTCTTCCACAGTCCCCGGCAGCCCATCACTCTTATTTCGGCATGCCCTCCTCTTTTAGAGGTGCTTCTTCTGCTTTGTGGGGAGTGCCGTATCACCATCATCCTCACGTGTCCAGCTCTCTTCCGGGTGGTTCATATCACGGTTTGGTATCACCATATCCTACATCGCAGTATAGTTATTGGCCGGGGCAACCTCCAATTAATGAAATTAAAAGAGAGGATAGTACTTCTGGTAAGATTTTTTTTCATTTTACTTTTCATTGTTTTATACTTTTCACTTTGTGATATTATTTTAATAGTTTTGTAATGTTAGACATTTTAAAAAACAAAAAACAGTAAAACATATATTTTATAATATTATTTTTACAGATGTTCCTTTGAATTTATCTAAAAATGCCGGATAAAGACAAATAATTAATAAAAATCTTTATTGGAACTACATAGAGCTACAACAACAACAACAACAGAAATTATATTAATAATAATAATAATAATAAAGTGCCAAATTGAAAAATTTGAATAATAATAATTTGTAATATATATATAATAAGGACATAATGTCTCGTTTAGCTTGAATGTAATTCTAGAAATAGTCTGAAAAAGAAAGGAGAAGTATGAAAAATTAAAATGTAAAGTTTAGCACATAAGCATTAAAATATAAAGAAAAAAAAAAGTTCTTATTTTTCTCATTATATAAGACAATAATAATAATAATATTAATAATAATAATAATAATAATAATAATAATAATAATAATAATAAATATTTATAAGGAAAATATTTTCATAACTAAATTTTTTTTTTCTTTTTTTTTTTTTTTTTACTATTTTGCTTTGCTATGAATTTTTTTTTTTTTTTTTTTTTTCGAACATTTAAATTTAAATTTAAATTTAAATTAAAAAATACTCATGAAAAGAAAAAAAAATGTATAAATAAATTAATTGTGTCAAAATTTTAATTGTTATTTTTTTTTTTTTCTGCTTTTGACAAAGTCAAACTCGATCATAATTTTTTTTTTTTTTAATATCAAATCAATAATTAAAAAAGTATTATTATTATTAAAAATGTTTATGAAACATTTGTGAAATTGTTTCCAAAAGTAAAAAACATGAGATTTAGTTTTAATATTTTTTTTATTGAATAATAATAATAATAATAATAACAATAATAGTAGTAATTAAAAAATTTTATTTTATTTTTTTTTTTCAAAAGTCTGCTTTTAATTTTAATTTTTTCTTCTAATTAGGCACGAAAATAAATAAATAAATAATTTTAATTTTGATATTATTTTATTTATTTATTAAATAAATAAAAAAAGCAATATTAATTAATCTAAAGTATATAAATACTTTATACAGTATAAATATATATATACTATATACATAAAAATATAAATATAAAAAATAAACTGTAAGGAAAAAATTTATTTTAATTTAAACAATTTTTTATTTTATTTTTTCGAACAGAACATTTAGTTATTAAGAACAATATTTTTAATATCTTATTTATAAAAATGTCTTTCATGACGTGCCTAAAAAAAAAAAAAAAAAAAAATTTTTTTCTTTCCTACTTAATTAATAAATAAATAAATAAATAACATTCATAATTATGTTAATAAATACATTTTAATTAAAAAAAAAATGAAAAAGAATTTAGTGAAAGAACGAACGTAAAAAAAAAAAAAATTTGTGCCTTTAGAAAATTAAAAAAAAAAAAAAAAAAAATTTTTTTCCGCCATTTTGAACCACTTGTTGTTGGGCTAAATTATCATTTGAAATAATTTTTTTTTTATAATTAAAATGGCTGATATAAAAGCCAAAATATAATAATAATAATAATAATTCTTAAAGACTGTTCTCTTAATAAATATTTTTAATTATAATAAAAAAAAATTTTTTAGCATAAATAAATAAATAATGTCATTGACACACACACACACACACATATACATATATTTTTATCCATACTTATGTATATATATATATGTATTGATAAATTTTAATTTTTTAATTGGTTTTCCATTTATTTATTAAAATAACATTGTTAATTATTATTATTTTTATTTCTTATATAAAATATTAAAAAAATTTTTATTAGTTTTTAATTAATCATTTTTTTTTTTTTTTTTAAATTATTATTATTATTTGTTTTATTAATATTATTTTGTATATCTATTATTATTATTATTAAAATTTTTTATAGTAAAGCATATATATTATTTAGCAGTTTGATGAAATTTAAATTTAAATTTAAATTTAAATTTTTTTTTTATAGCTCTAAGTGAGTTTTATTTATTTCTCTCTCCCCACACACACACACACACCCATTCACCCCCATGTTTTTTATTACTTTATTATTATTATTATTTTGTAATTAAATATTTAATTATTATTATTATTATTATTATTAATATTATTATTTGTGGAAGGGGAAGTAAGCTTATTGTACATATTTCGCGGTATTGTGAATAAAAGTACATTGTGTATTATTATTATTATTATTATTATCATAATAATTTTTTTTAAATAATTAAAAATACTTTTGAGTCTATCATCATCATTTTTTTTTTTTTTACTCTTGTGTACATGGTAAATAAATTGATTTTTTTTATAGATTCATAATAAATAAATAGTTTATATAGTAATCAAAAAAGAATTTTCACTTGATTCCTTGATTTTTTTTTTTTTTAAATGATTGTTTTCATAAAAAAAATTATTTGCATGATTAATAAATAAATAAATAAATAAAAATTTGTTTAGGAAAAAAAATTTTTAAAAAAAGGCGGGAAAAAAAATAAAAGAAAGTTTTAAGGAAAAAAAAAAAAAATAACGTTAGAGGTCGCGTCGATGGTTTTTAAAAAAAAAAAAAATTCAAGTTTTTTTATTCTATGTAAGCTTGGGGAAGCAAGTTAAAATGGAGTTGTGTTGTGTATGTTCGCGTTCAAATTTTTTTTTGTGATATTCAACATTTATTTGTTACTTAGTTTAATTATTATTTGAATTAGTGCACATGATTGTTACGGATGATACTATGGCTGCTAATATGTATAGAGTCGGAGGTAAGATTTCTGTGAATTTTGGATTTTTTAAACCGGCGCGGATGCATGATCCGAATAACACACACACACACACAGGCTACTCATTTTTAACCTTCTAAATACACGAGTATTATATCAAAACAAAATCTATCTGTCAAATTTTATTTATTTTATTTTTAATTGTTTATATATACATACGACTAAGGTAGTTACATATGAAACAAAAAATAAATTTTATTTATTTTGATTGTTTGATTATATAAGAAATGATATTATTGTATATTTGGTTTATATGTTGCTAATTAAACAAGTAAGCCCTTTTTACATTTACACACGGTTCTATTTTCTTTTGGCGGAAGCGTAATGCGGTTCGATTCCGACAGGCTTTTATTAAAAGATTACAATAATATATGATTTTAAAATGGTACTCATTGTATTAATTATTTATACGAGGGAAATAAATTCTTCTCTTTATTGTATTCCCAATTCATTTCATTCGTTTTAACAATTATGATTACGATGATATTGATGATGATGATGATAATGGTGATGTTGATGACGATGACCTGTGCAATTACACATTCATAAACGGCTTTATTTCAAGGCTATACGAATGTATTGCTTAAGACTAACCTACATCGATCACTTGTCATTTAAAAAAAAAAAAGAAAAAATTCCAAACCCAAACCACCTAACTCTACAATAAACAATTAATTTAAAAAAAAAAAAATTTTTTTTTTTTTTTACTACTCAACTGCTTTTTTCTATGAATGTATGTATGTATGTATGTATGTGTAAACTAAACTGATTGAATTGAAATGGTAAAAATTTTTTTAAATCCTTCATTTTTATTTTAAATTTTTTACTCGATTTAACTTATTAATAAAAATATTGGTAATCGTATTGTACAGTGCAGTCGTTTTATTAAAAGTTAAATTACTACCAAATTATTATTTTATTATTATTAGTGACATTTCGAATAAATATTTAAATTGTTTAAGGTTTGCAAATTGTTCTTATTAAAATTTTTAAAAAAAAAAATTGTAAGGATGAATTATTAGTGTGTATGATGATGATCATATTTTTGTCATTATTATTATTATTATTGTCATAATAAATAATTTTGTTTCGTCTGTCTTTGTTATTTTTTTATTGTTCATAACACACGATTATGAATTAATAATCACTGTTGTAAATTTTTAATGATTTTTTGTCATTAAAAAATTAATTTAAATTGTGTAAATGAGAATGAGTGCTTTTCTTTCTTTTCTTATTATTATTATTATTAATATGTTATTGTTTTTTATTATAGTTTCTTTGTTGCAAAAAAAAAAAAAATGTTTAACTGAAATTTTGGCACTCGTTAAGTTTTTTTTTTGTTGTCGTTAAGTTTTCACCATTTTGTTTTTTTTTTTTTTTATACTAAAGTTTTTGGTTTTTAAAATTTTAATTATTTTAATATTCAATCATATTAAAGAAATCTATTTATTATTAAAAATATTTTCTTTAAGAAGGGAAAATTTTTTTGTTGTTTATCAAGTGTTTCAATTTGTGAAAATTGTTGAAAATATTTATTTATTGAGTCAATTTAATCAATCAATCAATCAGTCAGTCAATCAATCATAAGGAAAATAATTAATATTAATAATAAATAATTAATATTAATTGTATTTAATTGTACCTGTTTTTTTATTTTATATATATATATATTTTTTTTAAATGTAAAAGTTGTTGTAATCATAGCGTTAAAACGACACCAAATGTTTTTAGAACAAAAAAGAGGAAAATTTTCAAATCTGGGAGCATTTTAAAATCGAAATAAAATGACTGTGAGATTTCGTTTTTAGCTTTAGTTTTGTTTCTTCTTTTAAGGCATCAACGTGTTTTTGCTGCAGTCTAATTTTAATCAAAAACATAAAAGTCCCGGGGGGGGGGAAGAATGAATGAAGAGGGAGGTGGTTGGGGACGTCAGACCCGGGAGGAATAGGGATGTGGAGAAAAAAGAAGGGTTGGTGGTAGAAAGTGAGTGAGTGAGGGGAGATTTCAAACGGAGAAAATCTCAAAGTAATGTTTGGTAATCGGTAAGAGGCAAGACCAAAAAGTCGTTGCAGATTGAGAGGACGTGTGCTTTTTTTTTTTTTTTTTTTTTTTTTTTTCATTTCTGTTTTTCGAGCCCATCCACATGTCATATCATTTTCCTTCTCTCTCTCTCTCTCTTATCCTTTCCTCTCCCGTTTCCCGCGCGTCCGCTCCCGATGAGATCGAAGTCTGGCCCGTGTTCTTGCCGGGGTTTCGACACCCATTTTTCCCTTTCTCCCTTCTTCCCTTCTTCCCTTACTCCCTCCCCTCTCCCCGTTCCCGCGTGCCACCCAATTTTTCCTACTCCACCTCTTTCTCTTTTTCCTTATTCTCATTCTCCCCTCGGACCCTCTTTTATTTCTGGATTCTTTGAGCCGATTTGAAGTTCGCAGTCCCTTTTTTTTTTTTTTTTCTCTCTCTCCTTCCTTCCCCTGTTCGTCTCTTCCCTCGGTGTGTCTCCTACGCTTTTCCCTCCCTCGATCACCTGATCCTTTCGTCTTTTTCCGCGACTCATTTTAACTTTTCTACTATTTGCAAATTTTATTTCTTTTCCTTCTTTTTTTTTTTTTTATATAAAGAATTTTCTTTTCTATTTTTGTTTATTTTATTTTATTTTAAAGCAGAATCGAAAATGATTTTTTTTTATATCAGGTTTAAGTAAATGAAAATTTACTAAAAAATTATTTTTTGGTTTAATAAGGAAAATAAAAGGTGGAAATTATAAATTTTTTTTTTTTTCGTACTATTTAAAAAAATTTCATAATCGTGTTGAACATGTTGTTAGCTAGGAGACAATAAGAGGAGATTTTGTCGATTTGTGTTACAACAAAATGTTTTTGGCTTAAACAAAACAACGTATCCCCAAATGTTTTTCGTTTTTAACGTCATTACTTTCTTCCACACCAAACAACTAGTATATGGTATTAAATTTTAAGATGGTCTCTAACTTTACTTATTTATATATATTTAAATAAACCAACTATGAAAACTTAAAAAAAAAAAACTTAATTATTCTTGCTCCGAATTTAAAACATTATGCGTGTAATGACGCTTTATTATTATTTCTAGTTTTGTTCGTTTGTAACCATTGAAAAGGTGTAGAAAAAAAAATTTCTTGCAAAATCTGATTTGTTGAGTCTTTAAACAAAACAAAACAAAAAGAAAAAAAAATTTTTTTTTTTAAATTAGCAAGAAGCTTCCATGTTTAATCAAATGACGTGGCAATAGATAAAAAAAAAAAAAATTAATAAGTCAGTTGTTGACTTTGATTTATTTTTGTGTGTGTGTGTGTGTGTGTGTGCGTTGCGTTAATTTTTTTTTTTTTTTTTTATGTTTTTATTTTTTGCGATTTCTTATGTCCAGTCATTCTTTATAATTTTTCGTTTTTCATTTCTATCCTCCAGGGAATTTTATTATTTCCAAAGAGATTTTTTTTTTTTTTAAATAATAAATTTTAAAATTTTAAAATGTATTATTATTTATTATAATTTTTAATATTGTAAACTTTTTTTTAAAATATAATAATATGAAGGGGGTTTAATAACGTTGAAGAAGAAACACCCGTGGACTGACCTCAGAGTCATTTAATTTTAAATGGTCACTTCCTAAAAGGCAATGAAACGATGGAAATAATAATAATAATAATAATAATAAACTCTTATGAGATTATGTTTTATTTGAGAAATGTAGCATCGTGTCAAAATTGATGCTGGATTTGTGGTGGACCATGATCGCATTTTTTTTTCTTTTTCTTTTTTTTTTTTTTGCTACTATAATGACTTTTGAAATTTAAATTGTGCGTGTGTGTGCGTGTGTGACGTATAATAATTTTAAAGTTTTAAATTTTTTAAAATTTTGTAAACAAAATTATTAACAAGTGTTTTTTAATGAAATTGGTCAACAGTTTAAAAAAAAAAAAAAAAATTTGTCTCATTCTTGCATTTAACCATTAAGTTTACCCGTTTATTCAATATGCGAAAAGTAAATTATTATTATTATTATTATTACCATTATTATTATTATTGTTTTATTAATATGAGAAGAGAAAGAAAAACAAAAAAAGAGATTGAGGTAAAATTCTAATTGCTTTTTAAGTAACACGAGTGTAAATTTGAAAGGTGGTGGTGGTAGTAGTAGTAGTAGTACCGTCAGTCATATACCTGTTTTTTTTTAATATATATTATTCTTTTCCTTTCTCTCTCTTTTTCTCTCTCTCTCTTTCTCTCTCTCTCTTTCTCTCTTTCTCTCT